TATAGGGTTTCCAAGGTTGTAATCTTTACGGAAGGAAACTGCCACATCTTTCTCCTGAGGAGGAGCGGCTGGTGGGTTCGAACCGCCGACCTTTCAGTTAGCAGCTGAGCACTTTAACCACTGCATCACTAGGGTTCCTGCGGGAGGACATCAGAGGCCTAATAAACCAAAAAGACAGAACTCATTGCCATCAACTTGATTCCAACTCAAGGCAACCCATGTGTTACAGAGTAGAACTGCTCCATAGGGTCTTCTTGGCTGTAATTTTTATGGGAGCAGATTGCCAGGCCCTTCTCCCATGGTGCCACTGGGTGGATTCAAACTGCCAACCGTTCTGTTAGTAGTCGAGTGCAAACTGCTTGTGCCACCCAGGAACCTCAGAGGCCAAATAAACTAGCACAAATCACGAGACAAGCAAAGAAGAATGGCAAAAAGGAAGAGCTGGCAGCCCCCCCAGCCAAACGTCTTATACACTAGGAGACTCTTATGAAGTGGCCTCTACTGACCTTCCAGCCCTCATCCCACTGCAAACCCAATGACCCAACCAAAGGTAACACTGGCAGGGCTTCCGGAGGCCATGCTCCTGTTCTCTGAGCCTTTGCCCACGCTGTTCCTTCTGCCTGGGATGCGGCCCCGCCCACCTCTCCAGTCTCAGTGTCCCCTCCTTCCAGGATATGCTTGAAGGCTTTCCTGCCATCTTGGCATTGCTGCACTGCATGCTGCTGGTCTGTGTGCCTCTGGGTGCAGGTTCCTTGAGGACACGGACTATGGCTTTTCACCAACATCTCCCTGGAACTCTCTGGCATTGAGAGTATGTACCCAATGAATGTTTTTCTCCAAAATGAAAATTAGTCTCTCCCCCACCTTGCTGCCACCACCATGTATTTAATTAGTAGCAGATGTCCTTATACACTACATCATTCCACATATTCTCTTACCAAGTCTCAATGACTCCATTCACAAATGAGCTCAATTTGGCATTTTCCACTTCTAAATACTATCACCCTAAAACCCAGGCCGGCATCTAATGTACATTAACAACTTCTTAAAAGGCAATAATCATACAAACATTTTAACAACATAATCAAAGAATTCTTATCACCAGTGCCATAAAATACATGTTCAGAGAATCTTTCTTAAGTAGCTTATTTGGTCTGCACATTGTGGCTAACGTATTCAAAGGTCTTTATAAAGTCACATTCCCCAGCATGTTAAGCAAAGTGTGAAAGTCAAAGACATAGCCTAATAAGTGAATCCCTCTTATGCACTGACTATATTAAAAAGATAACGCTATTTTGGCTACTAGGAGGATATGCACAGTAAGTCTCTGTGTACACCCATACACAATGGCAACTGGGTATTTTAATGTCATTTTTATCACTGGAGAACTAGCATTTTCCCAAACTGTCCCTCAGCATGCCTCTCCCCTTAAACACTTATTCTTTTTTTTCTTCTGTTACTTTTTAATTAGGGAAATATGCAGTCCCTATTCATTTGGTTTATTTGTATAGCAAGCATCCTTGTGCATGCCCAGAATGTTTACAGTCTTTAAGAAAATGCCATCTAACAGACTTCTTTGCTGATAGCAATGAGGATGTTATCTAAGAGACTGAAGCACAAAATTAACCTAAATTCGGAGCTGCTGCTTCATTTTAATTCACTGACCTCTACTGTAGTCTAGGACAGCAGGGAATCCTTACTCCTGAAAACAAGTACTCACACTACTTACTGTTGACACGAACTTCACTATTAGAAACAAGATCTCTGCATAGCTAATTCCACTTCAAATTTAAGTTAAAATTATAAAATAGTATGACGGGCTCCCTGGTGGGGTTTACTTGCATTTATGAAAGTGTTGCTTCTTCTATAGGAGAAGAATCTAGCATAGAACGAATGAATGATAAATCAAGGTCAAGGGAACAGGAGGTCAAGGGATTTAAGTCATTAATAGGCAAAGTAGACAAGGACAGAGACATAGATAACCCATAGCTTCTCATTTATAAAATTGGACAATAATTTAAATATTTAAACAAACAAACAAAAAAACCAAACCCATTGCCATCAAGTCCATTCTGACTCATAGAGACCCTACAGGACAGAGTAGAACTGCTCCATAGGGTATCCAAGGAGCTACTGGTGGATTCGAACTGCTGACCTTTTGGTTAGCAGCCAAACTCTTCACCACTGTGCCATCACGGACTAGTACATATAAAAAACATTACACAAACTATTGTGTTAGAAAAAAAAATAAAGTTAATAATAGCTACTTTACTGAGCGGTAAGTGATAACGTATAATAAATGCCTGGCACAAGGCAGTTGCTCAACAAGTGATGGTATTACTATTAATTAAATAATATTTGATCCAAGAACCAGTACGCCACACTGAAAGTGCCAACACAGAAATGGGAAAATGCCAGCTCAGAGGCCAAAAGTAGGCAGAGTGGGGCTCTGTCTCAGGCGTGTTCCTCATCCTGTCCACTGAAGAAAAATTTCAGCCCCTAACTCACTCTCACTAAGCCAAGTGGAGCATCACAAGACTGCAGCAAAGCTGTTTCTCTTCCTCCCAGGACTTAAAATGAGTTATGTAATGCAGAAACACAGTTGTTTCTAAAATATGCAACGTTATGAAAATAAATAACATTACCTCTGTTTAAAAGAGTCTACTGAACACTCTTGCTCAAAACAACAACAAAAAAACCACCATCCTTTCTCATCACCATCTTTACTTGACAAAGATTTGTTGGCCCAAGTGATGGAAAGTGAACATATGGCCCAAGCAGGAAGCTCCCTCTGCTCATCCCCTGCTCTGTTCTAAAACCCATGGGAGCTCCCTACAGTCTAGCCAATCACACCGTTTCCAAATGACAGTCCTGCTGTCCAGGCCCCACTGGAGCTACTGAGCCCTAGAGTCCCATGTCACGTGGGGCCTCACACTGCTTCACTGTTCCTGCTCAGACAGCTGAGCCCCTGCTGGTGCTTGTGCCCCTGCCTAGAACACCCGCCTTCCTCTTCTTTCTCTCCAGGTCTACCCAATTTGCCTCATCTTCTCCAGGAAATGTTTTTTTCATTTTACTATAACAGCCCATTTTAACCGAGAACCCAAATTTAGTACAAGCCCATTCAACTCTAGTAGTTTTAAGGGCATGAATTATCCACACTCTTCTTCTTCCAGCCACCATCCCCCGTTAGGCTGGGAGTGTCTCACACGCTTCAGAGTCCCTTACAGTGCCTAGCACAGTGCTAGGGACATCATAGGTGCTCAGCAAACTTGTTGCCAAGGGCATTAAAAAAAAAGTTTCTGCTGATTCTGGCTCATGTGTTACTGAGTAGAACAGCTCCATAGAGTTTTCTTGGCTTTGCTGTAATCTTTAGGAAAGCAGTTTGCCAGGCCTTTCTTCCCATAAGCCACGGGGTAGGTTAGAACTGCCAACCTTTAGATTAGCAGCCAATCGCAAACTGCTTGCACCATCCAGGGACCTCAGTGATCCTTTATGTGCTCAATAAACTCCTTCTTTTATCTACCAATGACATTGAAGTGCTGGACTGAGGTAAATTATCCCCTGGATTCAATTCAAAGAACACTCGTATTAATAACCAGGCTACTTAAGGCAGGAATGTTTTCTGGTCTTAATTATTTAGACTATTATTTTAATTGTCACTTCTCAATTAAAGACTCTGCCATAGGTTTCCAAAACACTCCAAGTGGAGCTTTATAAACAAAACAAGATTAACAAAGTATTCTCCAAGGTTAGGTCACCAACAGCACCCTGAAACGAGTAACTTTAGTAATTACGCATATAATTTCTTCAGCTTCCAAATTCTCTTAGGTAGCTTTCACTAGGAATGTTCCAGATATTTTGATTAGAAATATCTACATAATTACCCAATTCTCTCCTCCCACCCTCTCCCCTCATAACTAAAGAGATGCCTAAGGCAATGTTGAGGGGTTAAAATGTTTCCAAACAGCAAGACTCGTTCCTTTCCAAAAAGATAATTAAGAAACAACCAACTTAAAAAAAAAAAAGCTGTATTACCGAAAGAATGTAAAATGTTTCCATCTTCGGGACCAAAAAAAAATCTATTTTAAGTTTACAACTGTTTAAAAAAGGGGGGCCTCAAAAAACCCCAAATTATGGAATGTGCGTAAAAGACTGGCAGAACCCCTTGGAGAACTCCCGTGACCCCTCCCTCCAAACAGGCGTCCTTAAAACACAATTCTCCTTTCTGCCAGTAAAACGCAAGCTTCCCCTAGAATAATTCCATTAAAAAGCCCCCACCCGCCAGAAAACATTAATCTACTTTGCAAACATGCGTTCCAGTCTGTGCTTCACTATTTTTTTCCAACTCCTTCCCCCCCTTTTTTTTTGTACCTTGAGACAAATGTTTTTTTCCCCCAGAGTTGAAAGCTGTCCAAAAACAGGACCACACACGCGGCCGCCTCCGCAGGCCCGCGCTCCGCCCGCCCCTCCGCCCTCCCCCGCGCAGCGCGGCCGCCGGCGGCGCGCACACTCCCTCCAGCCGGAGGGGGGGCCTTCCCTCCTCCCCCCAACTCCATTCTCTTTGGACGCGGTGGGTGGGGGTGGGGGAGGGAAGGAAGCCGAGGAGGGGAGCCAAGACGGCAGAATCCTTTCCCTAGCCGCGTCTCGGGGCGCTGCAGAGCCAAGCCTGGGCGGCTGCAGGCCCCCCGGGCGCGCCAAGTGGTCCGTCCCGCGGAGGGGCCCCGCGCCCCCGCCAGCCCGCCCTCTGCTCTCTCTCCCACAACACCTAGCAAAGCGCAGCGCCCCGAGTAGATTACAGCGCGGGCTTTGTCGGGCGGGCCTGGCTCCCGGCCAGAAGCCCAAACAATAAACAGTTCCCCCTGGTGTGGGCAGGGGGTTTTCTCTCTTTACTCAAAGGCTCTAGGTGTATTCGGGTAAATATCTTTATCAATTGAAAGGAAGGGAAGGGGGACTGGGGGTGGAGGAAAACAGGGCGCAGCAGCCAACGCTGGGTCTCTTACCTTCTACCCACAGCTCCTCCACGTTGGTCTCGAGATTAGCTGCCTTTAATCCTACAGCAAAGGCCCCAAATATGAGGAGGCCCACAACCAAAAACTTGCCGCAGTTTTTTTGAATGTAACAACCCAGTTTAAATAAGAGTCTCTGAAACTTCGCTCTCAGCCACAGCGGCGCTTTCCGGCCAGTAGCCTTCCCCTGGAGACGAAGCAGAAGCGAGGAGTGAGTGCAGGGTAGGCGCGGCACAAGCACCCACACCCGCCCGCTCGCAGGCTCCCTCCCGAAGAGCCCCCGACAGCCCCAGTGTGCTGCAGCCCGGGCTCTGGGCGGCTGCAACCCTGTCCGGTCCGCAAGCGGCGTAGGGGGGGAGGAGGCCTGATTATAAATCAAAGTCCGACTGCACCGTGGGAGTGCATCGCGGCGACAGGCGGGGCGCCCCACGCACGTCCGGCGCAGCACCCCTGAGTGGTTTGGGGCTCTGGGGGGAGGGGCTGCAAGGACAAGGGCAAGTCGAGGTAAGGAGGAGAGAAATCACTCAACACTAGCAATATTTGCCCGGGACTTGGGAAGGGAGGGGGTGCGTAATCTCTGCGGGTGGAGCCCAACGTTTAAGAACGAGCAAACCAAGCCCCCCTTCCCCATAAGTCCTGCTATATCCATCACCCCGGGGTGCCCTGGCGGGGACGGGTGCTAGGGGGCGAGCGCGCTTTGGGAACAATGTATTGTGGGTTCCCCTATCCGGACCCCGCCCGGCGTGGTAGTAAATGGGGTTCCACGTGGTGAGCGCGGCCGCGGGAGCTCACTCGCGATGCATTTCTACAGCGTTGGGAGACGCTGTGTGAGCTGAATTAGGAAGTGGGGCAGCCATCTGCAACTTACGACAATATTTGTGATCGGAAGAGGGCAGCCACATGGATCTTTCCCTCCTCCTCTCCCTTCCCTTCTGGTTAAACGTAAAAAACACCCGAGTGCGCCGGGGAAGGGCCCAGGCCGGCGCAGGCGGGGGTCCCGGCTGGGCGCTGGTTGCTCCCGGCGGCGGCGTTTACCCGGCGCTGGCCGCGGCCCCGGCGGGCCCCCGTCTGGGTGTTCGCCTTCCCCGGATTCCACACATTTCAGCGAGCCTCGTAAACACAATGAACCCAGCCGCACCACGGATTTAAGGTGGCAATTTGTTTACAACTTTCCCTTTTCCCCCAGGCTCTGAGAATAGACGGTTCAAAACTATAACAGAAGTGGGGGTATGCCCTCGCCCGAAGATAATTTTTAAGGGAGCAGAGATTTCAGGCTCAACAAAAGCAAAACCGGCTGCCAAAAAAGAAAACCACCTTTATTTCGGCTCCCTCCCCCCCTTCCTCTCTCCGCCTCCCTCCACGCCGCCTCCCCCTCCAAGATGTTAAGAAATGTGGCAGCATTACAGGATTTAAGCTGCAAATAGGGGCTAGGAGTGCGGGAGGAGAGGGATCTGTGGCAGGGGCCACGGGGGCAGGGCAGTGCCGCGGCTGCCCTCGAGGTGGTCCACTGGGGACCGCTTTCTAGGGCTCCAGAAAGGAACGCCGGGGAGGGCGCGTGTCCGTAGACACACACACGCACACACACACACACACGCACACACACACACACACACACCCCACGCCGGGGAGGGCGCGTGTACGTACACACACACACACACCTCCACCCCCCACTGCGAACCTCAGTCAGCCCTTTCCTCCCAGGACCGGAGGGAGGGTTTGAATTTTTCAATCCCCACTTGTCTACTTTTTTCCCTGGAGGGGTGTGTGTGTGGGTGTGTGTGTGTGTGGCGGGGCGATCCCAAAGAGGAAGAGGAGGGAAGAGAGTGGGAGGAGGAGAGGAGAGGAGAGTCTGAAATGCACCTTGGAAATCTGCTCCAGAGCGAAGGCAGCGTCGCAGTAGCTGGGCCGGTGCAGATAGTCCAGGTCCCGCGCGGCGGGGCGGCGCAACCCTGCGGTCCGTCTGCGCCTCCCGCTGCCACCGCCGGCCGGTCGGCCCGCGGCCCC